TGAACATCTCTAAAGGCTGATGAACCCCGGTGGCATTTCACTGCTGGTCGTCTTGGTGTCCTTTGGTAAGAGAGGTCTGCAGAGGAGTGCTCATGTACATGTGACTTTGTTCCCTCACAAGTAGAAATGTAAGCAACAGTAAAGCTGAAGAGAGAGTTTTAAACAATCTAGCTGGCTAATCACAGAAGATCATTTGGAAATAACTTGTAGGGGATTTTTTTTGTGATTATGGGTTGGTTTGGTTATAAATGCTGGAGAAATCCCTTTTATTTTAGTGGGTTTCTTCACACATCTAATGTTAAGTACATTGTTTTATCTGAATCTTAGTAAATGTTTGTCACAATCCCATTGAAAATGCATTGTGCATCCCAGCTCTTTTGATATGTGGTTAGAGTCTGAAGTATTATTAATCACTTAAGGTATCAGATCCAAGCTTTACAGATATCATGGGTACTCGGCTTCTTTAGATAGAGTCCATGGAAAAATGGGCTGAATAAATATGATAAATGTTAAACAAATCACTATGCTGGTCTGGAAAAATATGGAATGAAAGATCACAAGGCAGAAAAAAATGCATGGTTTGTGGAATATAGTATGTGTAGCAGAGCGCATTTTTAACTCCCAGGCTCAGTCTGGCGGCCTCTGGTTTGTATGTAGACCTTGTTGGATCTGTGTGAGTTTTGGGCTAGATGAAAACACTGACTTTGAGAAGAAAATAAAAGCCATAATAATGATAGCATATGACAGTGCATTGTGAGAGTCAATAGGGTGAGGCATTGATCACTCTTGTGTCTCAGTTCATGGCTTTGTGGAAATGAACCTTTGCTTTATGCAACCTTTGTGGCTGTGAAAGCATCTTGATGGAGAGGCCTGGCGATAACCAGTGATTAGTCTGAGAGGGTTTTAAAGACTTCACACAGACTCTGCTACTTGCCTGCATGGTTTACTAGATTTGTTCCCTGTTTTCAATTTGTATTTTGTTTTCCTGTTGGCCATAAGCACAACTGAAGATAATAATCCCGTTTGTATGGGAAGAAAGCATGGGCAGACACCACAGCCTCGCAGCTAAGCTGGTTGGTATAAACCATCTCATGAGTTGTCAGTGTCTGTCTTAGCACCACATCACTGGCAGAGTCGTGAGTGGGCAAGGAGAGCCTGTAGCGTCCGTTTTGATTTGATCAGGGGTTAGAGCACCTTATAAGCAGCTTGTAAACAGCAGCAGTGATCATCCAACTACAGAGTCATTGTTGTGGATTGTTTCAGGGTTGGTTTTGGGTTTTTTTAGTATTACTATTTTTCTTCTCTACAGGCTTCCTGCTATGCCCTTTTCTGTTGCAGTTTACCCAGTATTTGAAGATTCTTCTTTAAGTATTTATTGTCTTACATTATGGAAAATATTAATACGTGTGCACTTGATACGCAAAATAAGTACTCAGAGTCTTTGATGATCAACCATCAAAACACCTCAATTTCTTAGCTTTTTTTGAAGCTTGGTTTAGTGTTTCTGTAAACACGCTTTATTGGTAGGCCACTGCAGCAGTTTGCAATGGGGTTTCTTCATACTTAGCTTCTTGCAATATCGCCTGCTGCTTACAGCTTTCAGAGCCCGAAATGTAAGTGCAGCCTTGAAAGCCCCATGTAGTTGTGTGATACAGGACCGCAGTGATGAGTACCTGTGGGTAGCTATGCCAGATAGTGGCACAATGTGTAAGCCCAAACTGCATCTCCCTGGGAGCTCCTATATGATTGTGAAACATAGGTGCCCTCCTGTGGGCATCCCAGTGCTTCTCCTTGCTGTATGGAGATGCTAGGATTGCCTTGCTTGCCTGGAGGTGGTTTGGCTTAGGTTTTGAGCAGGATGCTAAGGACCTTTTATTATGCTTCCCCTTTTTTTTTTTCTTCTAAATCTATTCAAAATAGCAGGGTCTAAAAGCATGCCTCCCTCCAATATGTGTAATGGCAATGATTTCAGCAGTTGTTCAGGAAAACAGCTTCTCATCCCAGGAGGGTTTGCCATTGCCCTCGGGTCAGGATATGGCCCTCAGTATCAAGATAGACATTTAGTGTCATTGACAAATGCATGGACCCTAATGCAATTCACTTTTTGGCTAGCGAAGGCATGCGAAGGTAAGCCGTTAATCACATATTCTTCAGCAAACACTGTTATTTGGGAATTCAGAGTGTATCATTTCAGGGTCACTGTGAACGTATCTGCTTCATTGCCTGCCTGAGCTGGGCAGGTTTGGTGTCAGATTTGTTTGCTTAACCTCAGTGTAAGGTTTCCATAGCTTGTTCACAGTCTGTCCACAGAACCTTTTAATGACGAGAGAACTGTGCTTGGCAACGCAAGCTGTAACTCCAACAGGATGATGCTGTTTGCAGTTATACAGTTGCTTCAATTTCTCTTGCATGCCCATGTACCCCCATAGCTCTGAGCAGCCGGAGGCCAAAACTGGCTTCAGTCCATGCAAAATAAAAATCCACATCTAAATGCTATGAAGGTCAAGACTTTCTGGAGAGAGGGTGGAAGAATTGTGTATGAGCTAATGCTTAATACTGGAACAAGAGTAGCTCCAGGTGGCAAATAGTGCCTGTGTTATTTACCCTGTGTTTAGCATCTCTGTTAAGTGCCTGCCTCCTTCATGTTTGCTAGAGAAAGGGAGAGCTTGGCTATATTAGGTGCACCTTGAAGTATTTCTGAAAGACAAGAAGCACAAACAGCAGCTGAAGTATGTGGCCACGTAATAAAAATGGGCTTTTGGTGTAGGAGCCCTCAGCAAGGCAGCACTGGCCTAAACTTGTCTGGGAGAGCTAACCTCAAAAGTGAATCGACACAAACATTTAGATGAGCAGATAGCTAAGTTTTTTCATCTTTTAGAAGAAAGTATTGCTTCTTTCAGTAAATTGAAAGTAATTAAAGTGTGGCTTCTACCCCTGCAAAGATCCAGTTCTGCTGTGTTATGTGTATTTAAACACATCTGAATTTCTACATCTGGCCGTCTCAGAGTGACAGAGGGGAAGATTTGACCACTCGGCTCTGAATACGGTGGAACAATTTCCAGGCTTGAGTGCCTGAAGTTAATGGTATAAATTCCTGCTGAGACACCTAAGCCAGTTGACTTGAGAAATAAAACAAAATCCTTAATGAAACAGAAAAACCCAAACAAACAAAAAAAGAAATATTTTGGCCAATATCAGCAGTATTTGCTTGTTACCCCTGTGAAGGTGGTGAACAATAACAAGTAGTTTCCTACCTGGGGTTCTAAGTTTCACTGTGTTGGGTTTTCAAAGCAAGAGGAAAGGCCTTACTTCAAATGCAGTCAAAGGCTTTCGCATTGACAGAAGCCTAATTACGACCCTTCCCTCCTCAAAAACATTAATAGTGAGTAATGAGGATTATTGTGGATCTGACATCTTACATGTTCGCTGGCATTCACGGAAATCTTTAAAGCAAATTCTGGGGATTAGCACAGACCAGTTTGTACAGCTGTCTAGATTTCATTGGATCACAAGCCCAGTCTGCAGGAAAATACGTGGTTTATCAGCAAATTCTTACTGGTGGTAAGGGAAGACAGGCAGGGAAAGATGTTCTGAATTTAGAGAAGTGGTCAGTGGCTATGGGGTAATAGGTGTGGGCTTTGCTGTAGTAGTTAGGAACATCTTGTAGTAGTTAAGAACATCTCCCTGGTTTTCATGGTTGTAGAAACAAAGATCAAAAAGGAAAATGAGGTTTCTCTTTTTTCTTAATTACGTTAAGGTATTTAGTTAATGGCCATTGCTTTGGTATTCTTTTGTGATGGGCCATGATTCCTTCAAGTTTGCTTCACCAAAGTGGACTTGTGCTCTGGTATTATCCAGACCATTGGGGTGAAGAATGTGTAAAAAACGTTACAGTATGAAAATGCAAAACCAAAAATAAGCATGTCTTATTTCTGCATGTTATATGGAACATATTCATGTAACAGTAGCACACATAGAGTCGTAGAATGAACTAGGCTGGAAAAGATCTTTCAGATCATCAAGTCCAACCATTACCCCAGGGCTGCCAAGAACACCACTAAACCATGTCACTAAGGCCCTCATCTACAGAGTTTTCAAGCGCTTCCAAAGGTGGGAAGGTGGGGAAAAAGGTGACGTGGAGCTTCTGTGCAAGGGAGATGTCCTCAGGGAGGTTTCTGCCCATGGTGATGTTTCACTTTTTCCTTTAACTGCAGAGTTTAGGTTTGATGAAGGGAGGTAAAATCTCAGGTATTTTTTCACATGAATAAACCCCGGTGGAGACTCAAGGATGGTGGCTACTTTGGGATTGTCCCCAACCTCAGAGGATGGTGCTGGAGAATCATATGGCCATTACAGAGGGTGAAACTGGGGCAAGGCACCTTGTTACATGTGGCTGTGGCAAGGGCTGGAGAAGCTCTGGGTGGTTGCAGCCATCTCAGTGACCCAGGAGAGCTTGGGATGCACAAGTTAGAGGAGGAGAGGGGGGAAATCCTTGGGAAACTGGCCTTAGGTCAGCTTTTGTTCCAACTGCAGTTTCTTGGCATGGGTTTTGTTATTAAAGACATGTCACTGCAATTAAATCACATTAAAGTCAAACAAGCTGCTGATGAGCACCGCTCAGAAGTCATGCTGCTGTTAAACCGATCCGTCATTTTGGGTTGATCAGCATCTGGAGCTTTGTTTGGAATAGCTGAAAGCCTACATCACCTTTCCATTTGGAAAAATGGTATACGAAGAGAATGAACATTGTCAGTGGAGGAGCTTACAAAGCAGACAGCTGTGCTGCAGAATGAGAAACTTAAACCTACTGCAACTGCTTCCCTGGGGAGCCCAGATACAAACATAGAGTGGGAATGTCTATGGAGCACCTACCTGCACCACCTGTGCCATACGTTTAACCATAGTTTGGCTCTAGTTTAGCTGAGAGAGCCAAGAGAGGGTCCAGCTGTCCTGGGCTGAAGATCTCATCTATCCTTGGAAAAGAAATGTGGATCCACACCTTCTTTTTCACTCCTTTATTGCATTTTGTATTTAAGAAGAGGTGTGCAGCTGGAAGGAGGTTTTTCTCACACACTTGTGGGTCTTCACTGTGAGTGTCCTGGCACTGCCTCCATGCACCGGCTTTTGAATCTTCAAACCATCCAAGTGCTCTTACAGTTCCCAGCCACGAGAGGCTCAGTGAGGGCAACAGCAAAAGGCATCGCTATAAAATGAGCCTGTTGAGTTGTCTTCACCTTTCGTGTCCATTCCAGTTTTAAAGTTGAAAATAAAAGAGATGGTATTTTTAAGGGCTTGTTTCTGCTTCAAGCTTTCCGTCTGTTTTTTCACAGCATCAGTAATTTTTCCATGTAAATCTTTTACCAGTGGTTAAATTGCAGCACTGCGAGTGCTATGACAGAAAGGTGTCTTCTCCATGCAGAGCTCTTGAAGCCAGCACAGTGTCCAAAATCTCATGTCTGCTACTGCTGAGTTCATAGAACCATAGAATCAGATCAGTTGGAAAAGACCTTTAAGATCAACTCCAACTTTTACCACAGGGATGCCAAGACCGTAACTGAAGTGTGTCACTAGGGGCCTCCTATGTATGTTTTATGAACACTTCCAGGGACAGTTATTCCACCACTTCCCTGAGGAGTCTGTGATGAAAGGGAAAACAGAATTACATTGTGTAGATGAACTTAACATGTTCACTTCTTTGTGGCTGGAATCAGTTGGAAGGAGCTACGAGGTTATGGTACATGTTCTTGTTGCGTTCAAGTTTTATTTACTCTCTTGAAGTGATGCTATCATGATGTTTATTGATGATACATGGATTTTACTTTTTTGGAGAAGCAATTGCAAGGAGCAGGAGAGTATGCCCCTTGCTTCCTTCAGTATGGCTAAACCAAGTCATTCCCCTGGGGAGAAGGGCACTGATGTCTGGGATGGGATTGTTGAAAGAGAGAGTTGGCTGTTTGCCTATTTAAAGCCTGTGACATTAGTAAGTAAATGAAACAAGTGACACTAAAGAAAGTATCTGAACAGCACGTCATTTCCTTTGGAAAATAACCCCACACGGTGCTGAAATCTGCTGCTGTGGGGCACCAGCATAACTGTGCATCGTTCCTCGCTTAGGAACCGTGTCAAGGACCAGTCTGGAAAAATGATCTGCAGTGGACTTACTTTTGACTTCTTTGTCATCCAGCTGCCAGGAAGAGTTCAGTGCTGGATTTTTTATATGCACTTTGGTCCTGTTTCCGTTTCTGCCTCAAGCTCTCTCTCAAGTCCTTCCAGATTCTTGACCATAAAAGATAATACAACACTACAGCCCTTCATTAAATGGCATCCAGAACTGTTTCTTCAAACACTAAGGCCTGATTAGACTGGGAGCAGGACAGCAATAAGGGGAAAGACTTGGGAAATTTGCTTCCCTTTGGAGTAGCTGGATTTTTGCCATCAGTGAAAACCTGGAATGCACCCACTCTAACAGAAGCTTAGCAGGTACTCAATAATGCTCTTTTTTTTGCCAGGACTCCTTGGATACCCAGCAGTAATGATTTACTGTAAGCACTCCCTGAAAAGCAATGGTAAATCTTGCTGCCTTCTGCTTTGGAAGTCATGGAGAGACAGCTGAGCAAACCTCAGCAGTGGCAAATGCAAAACATAAAATACTGTCATTGGGCCATGGTAAAGAAGGAGCCAAGTCTTAATCACATAAACAGATTCTCATATACTTTCCCCATGCTGTTTTATAAAGTGCTTATATAACTGAAAAGATTAACCTTGGAGGAAGGCAGCTAGAAAAAACGTCTTTACAGCTTCTTATTTACGGTTTACTATGGTCGACGAATTAGTTTGCATTTTACAAAGCCGAAAAGTGGGGGAGGAGAGAGGAGGAGGGGTGTGAATAAGGGGAGATGCTTGCACGGCTCTCAGAATATTAAAGAAAAACTAAAATCCAGAGGAGTTATCGCTGTCAAATGCAGACACGCAGGCAAATCCTATACTGGAGCAGCCCTCGGTATCCAGGCAACGTCAACACTTTTTGCTAAGCTACTGCCAGCGCTGCTGACAGCTTTTGCCACTTTATGGTCACAGCAGAAAAAGAAAATGCCTGACATCACTGACATTCTTAGGAATTAGTTTCTTCTCCGTCCAGCAGATGCAAAGCTCAGCAACACACAGCACATGCACATCGTGCAAACATTCAGAGGGAAAAAGCCTTTGATGGCGAGGAAGGTGTGGGGTTCCTCATTTCCCTCTCAACCTGGCACTTCATCTTCCCAGAGTCTCTTACCCTTTCTCCCTTGGACACTTGGATACTTACTGTGCATAAGCGAATGTATCACGTTTGATTAAGCCATTTACAAGCAACTTCTGTCACTGCATTATAGGTTGCAGAGTTAGTGGAGCCCTTTGCTGTGCTAAGAGAGCCTCCACCTCTTCTTTCCTAGTTCTTTTTGCATGCTGCAATGCTCAAGTGCCTAAATAAGATAGGAACTTATTTAACATGCTAATAATGTTAACATATGAGGGGAAGAAACCCTTGCATTTGCAGTCTTACAGCGGTAAGCTGGGACTGATGGGCGCAGAATACGTACAGTCCAATGGGCTTAGTGCTGCAAGGCTGTAGGGCCTGTGCTGTGGAGCAGGTAAATAAAGGACACTGGTTTGCTGTGTTCATTTACTGAAATGAAAGTCCTTTTGTGCTGGAAGTGTTAATACAGCAAAGCTAAACCTTTTCTTGGAGCTGAGAAGTTAAAACTGTGTTGAGGAGCCAGACTCATCCTTTGCTGTGGATCAACACAGGGATCACTGCACACTTTCCAGGCACAGCTGCATGTTTTGTGCTCTTGGAGCAAAAACAAAGCTGTCTTTCACCTTGGGAAGTGCCTTGTGACAGTGACCAAGAAAAGGTCAGTAAGACACACGGAGCTTCCTAAGTGTTAAGGCCAAGTAATGCAAAACCCAGTGAAACTTGTTGCTGAACTTGAAGATGTTTAACTTGCTGCTCACTAAGTAGATAACTGTATTATGAGCAGGTGTGTGGGGAGCTGCTAAGCTGCAGAAAGTCATTTGGGCTCTGCTGGTGCCCTACGCCTTCCCTCCCTTGAGGGATTTGTGCAGGCTGTGAAAGGGTACAAACCGGGGCAGGAGGATCCCCCTCTGCTCTTGGCTCCCCCCAGGCTTTGTGTGTGACCCTGAGTGTATCTCCTCTGGGTTTTGGTGAAGTTTCATTAATTGCTGTAGCCTAAGAGTGTTAGTTTTGTAGTAGGTAACAGTAAATAGGGTGGGCTGAAAGGTGAAGGGGGAATTTGGAGGGACTGATTTAGGTTGGTGATGCTGAGGGCTGTTACTCAAAGCAAAGACCAGCAGGACCTTCCTTGTCAATGCTCTGCTTGATGCAGAAGCCTGTGTTATGTCTTTTAACGTGCAGAAACAAAACCCCAAACACTCATATTAATATAAAGACTTCTTTGAGAAGCTCAGTTTTTCTGGCAATGAGCCTGGCTTTTGCTACTAAGGAAGGTCGGAGTTTTGTCTCTTGGACTAAGAGTTGATGCTCTCCACCCTGTGCTTGCATTGCCCCACTCCAAGCAATTCCTGAAGACACGGGGATTTTGCTGCTTGCCTTTGAACACATGGGCTTGTAATGGATATAGGCAGCAAATAAGTGTGAAGGAAAGCCAGGAACCTGTGGTCACCATGAATACCTACTTCGTCTGCTGTAGGTCTTTGTTTTCTGTAAGATTTTTAATTACCTTTCTAGTTAATAGGGATAGAAAAAGGATTAGTCTAAGCATGAGATTCTTACAGTGCAGTAACACACAGCATCTGCAGACAGCTTTTCACCTGAAGCTCTCACAGAGATGATGTGAGTTATCCCTGGGTGTGCAATTGTCCAGTAGCAGAGCTGAGAATAACCCCTAAGTCTATTAATGCCATACTGGGCTCCATTTCAGTGTTCCTTTCTCTCCTCCTCTACCCTGTAGGTATTTTATTATGACTGGAAACAACCTACCTGTTTTAAGGAGTATGTAGCTTGGAGCAATAATTTCTGTTTGTGTCTACTAGCACAGAAGTTTTAATGATTTTCGCTCCAGTGACATGCTTGCAAATAAGATATCAGACTTGCCAGGCCCTATTGCTAGCTGCCAAGGTGATAACAGAGTGTGGCTTTTCCCCCACAAATGTGTATTATGTACTAACAACAAAAACATTCAGCCTGTAACACTGATAGGTTTTTACAGGCTGTTTGAGCCAACCTTAACTTCAAAAGCCAGAATTGCACCAGGCTGCATGATGGAAATCTCATAAGGCTGCATTAGAAATGCACCCCTGAAAACAGAGACAGCTGAGTGAAGGCCTAAGGAAGTTAGGATGCTTTTGGGGCAGACCAAGAAATTCAGGAGTTTAGCTTTGTGCTGCTGGATGTGTCAGAGCTCTGTAACCATAACACTGAGTTTCTGCTTTGATTCTTGATGCAGAACTGATTAATGATGTTTGAGCTACTTGGTAGAGTGCTTTCTACTTTAAGCACTGAAGCTACTGCAAGGTGCTGACCTTTGACAAGATTTGAGAATCTGATGGCACTGTACAACAAGTTCTGGTCATCTGTGATGCTAGTTTAGATCATTCTCAAATGACTTTTCAAGGTACAAATCATAGTGCCCATTGCTGAGCTAACTCACCAAGGAAATAGATTTCATGGTTCCAGAAGTCTCTCCTCAATGTGAGGCTTGATGTGTTTTGAGGAAGTGAACAGGAAAGGATGTTGGCTGCAAATTAAGTGCCAGCCTCAGAACTGTGTTCACAGTATCACACAGTATCACAGTATGTTAGAGATTGGAAGGGACCTCAAAAGATCATCTAGTCCAATCCCCCTGCCGGAGCAGGAACACCTAGATAAGGTTACACAGGAACGTGTCCAGGCGGGTCTTGAATGTCTCCAAAGAAGGAGATTCCACAACCTCCCTGGGCAGCCTGTTCCAGTGTTCCGTCACCCTCACCGAGAAGAAGTTTCTTCTCAGGTTTAAGTGGAACCTCTTGTGCTCCAATTTGTACCCATCACCCCTTGTCCTTTCATTGTTTGCCACTGAGAAGAGCCTGGCTCCATCCTCGTGACACTCCCCCTTTATATATTTATATACACTAATAAGTTCACCCCTCAATCTCCTCTTCTCCAAACTATAGAGACCCAGCTCCCTCAGTCTTTCCTCATAAGGGAGATGCTCCACTCCCTTAATCATCTTAGTTGCCCTGCGCTGGACTCTCTCCAGCAGGTCCCTGTCCTTTTTAAACTGAGGGGCCCAGAACTGGACACAATATTCCAGATGAGGTCTCACCAGGGCAGAGTAGAGGGGAAGGAGAACCTCTCTCGACCTACTAACCACCCCCCTTCTAATACACCCCAGGATGCCATTGGCCTTCTTGGCCACAAGGGCACAGTGTCGGCTCATGGTCACCCTGTCGTCCACCAGGACCCCCAGGTCCCTCTCCCCTACACTGCTCTCTAACAGGTCGTTCCCCAGCCTATACTGGAACCTGGGGTTGTTCCTGCCCAGATGCAGGACTCTACACTTTCCCTTGTTATATTTCATCAAGTTATTCCCCGCCCAGCTCTCCAGCCTGTCCAGGTCTCTCTGGATGGCAGCACAGCCTTCTGGCATGTCGGCCACCCCTCCCAGCTTAGTGTCATCAGCAAACTTGCTGATAGTACACTCAATTCCCTCATCTAAATCGTTGATGAATATATTAAATAATACTGGTGTTGAACTGGGATGTGCCTGAGCACTGGTACCTGCCCTCTGGTTCACAAGGGATTCCTAAAACATAAATGACTAAGGAAGTGTTGCACAAGGAGTTGCTGTGATGTCGCCTCTTCCCTGCTCTGTCTCTGGCTTTCAGGCAATCCCCCTGAGGACACAGTTAACAACAGCCTTTTCAGTCTCTTCCTCTTCTGACAACTAGCTGTTGTGGAAAGGTTTCAGTCTGTTTTTGATCCTGCCGGGTATAGCATGTGCAGACTGTCAGGGTTGGCTTTTCCAGGAATATTCTCCTACTGCCTTGTATCTCCCAGGTTTGCCCTTCTTGTCATCTAGACAAAAAGACTCTAAAGGCTTTCTCTAGTTCACTTCCACATTGGTCCCAGCCAACCCTCTGAGATTTTTCACACAATAACAGCTCTGACCTTTACACTTGAATGGGAACTTTCTACCACCCAAGCTGTCCCACACTTCCCTTTGATTCATTCCCATCATCTCCTTGTGGCTCCTGAAGTCACAGCAGATTACCAGCTGGATGCCATGGATGTATTGGATGTTTTTTTCCAAGTTACCAAGTGTCCGCCACTTACATTAATTGGTAGAATCATCAAGATTGATGGGGCTTGGATGGTTTCGAGAGCATTGTATACAGTAAAATAATGGCAGCTTTCCCTTAACATGTCCATTGTCTCCTTTGTCCCGTCTTGTATCCTGCAGATTGCTAAGGTACCTCTGTTACCATCTCAGGAAGCTGCAGGGTCTCTCTTTCACACTCTGCTTTCATCTCTTTTAAAAAGTCAGTAAAGTTCCTTTTGCTATCAAAATCACTATGTTTGATGTGGGTGCAAAAATCTCAACCCCCCACCCCAAACCATCTGCCCCAAAAAGACAACCTGAAAAGAGAAACCAGAATGATTTTGAATGACTTCTCTTCCAGACCTTATGTAAGTGATAATAAATGTCTCCTCCTCTATTACTCTCATCTCGTCTGGCAGATCTCCCATAATCTGGGTGACTAATTCTAGTAATCTCTTTGCAGCTGAGGCATGTGAGACTATCACCTCACGCACACAGTGGTTTAACACAGGGTGAACAATATGTCATGTTCTTGCAAAGGCAGGAGCAGAGCTGTGGAGTCCAACAGATCTCTGCCTTGTTCTGTTCCTCACTGGTATTGACACAGCTGCATAGGGTTTTTTTGGGAAGTCACTTCTACCTGTGCAGAAAAGCTACAAACCATGGTACTTACATCCCTTCAGCTAAAGATGAAAAGGTGCTACATGATATCCAGCTGGAGGTGCTTCCTAAGGTGTTTATCTTGGGAAGTTAACAGAGCTGTTTTGCCAGTTGGTCAATTATGATGAAATTAAAGTATGCAACATACTTGGGTTTATTCCTTTGCTTACAACTAATGATGCTTCAGAAGCATTAATCTGTAGGAAAAGTAGGGGTAGAAAATGATGTTAAATCTTAGGGATTTTTTTATTCAGGGTTGGTATTTTTTTTAATACCTTGTATTGTTTCTTAACCACCAGGTGAAGGTCCCTATTTGCTAGGGGATTGGCTTGAACAAATAGGCCAAAAGAGCTGGCTGCAGTGCAAAAAGGCTGTGCAGCGAGTTGGATTTCAGTGCACTCCCTTTTCGCACATGGTGGATTCCTCCCTTTCTATTATAATCCCCTTTCTGGAGCGATTCTGCTTGTAATGACAATGCAGTATTGGGTGATCCTTTAGGAATTTCCTCTCTTGGCATTATGCCTCTGTTTAGTTCATCAGATTGGGATTCAGTCCTGTGCAATGTCCTTAGTCATTCATGTAAACATACTGTCAGTGGCTATATAAGAAGTATTTAAAGCCCTTCCTGTGGATATCCCTTCTAGTCACTGGGACTTCATGAGCTCCGGGCTTGATTTCAATGAGTAATTCAGCTCACCACTGCTACAAGACCCTGCTTTCACTGTCAACAAAACAATGTTTGCAACAGTTAATGGAAAATGGCCATTCTGTGTAAACACCTGCATTAGATACCCGTAGGTAACCTCAGTGTAGGCCTCATGCTTTCTTGCACCACCACAGCAGCTAAGAGCAGGAGAGGCACACATATGCAAACTCCTTCACTCTTGAGATTAGGGATTCACAGGGAATGGTCCCTTCCTCTGGAAGATGCTGCTCCCTTGCAGCTGAACCAATGAGGTCCCTCTTTCATCACTAAAAAACAGGAGAGTTGTCATGAGGCTGCTGGAGTCAGGAATGAGAAAGGCTTCTCAAGGTTAGCTAAGCATTCAACTTTTCAAGGTGTGTTTCAGTTTTCTCTTCAGTCACCACTTCTGTGTTGACTCACGTGTCTAATAGAATGCTGCTGTCTGCTGTCTCTAATTTTATAACATATATAGCACATATGTCTATTATACGCATTGTGGCACATGAATGGGTCATTTGCGGGATGACCATCAAGCCCAGTACTGTACTATTGGCATTTTTTATTATCCAGCAACACTTATTTTCAACCAAAAATAGCAGATAATAATATTGAGCCAGGAGAAGAGCCTTTTTGGTGTCTTATTTTGTGCTTAAGCAAAATTTTGTGGCATTTGCTGTCAGATCTTTCTGCTTATTAAGGGCAAAAGAGGGATACAGAACTGGAAATTACTTTGAATCATAGAATCATAGAATAGTTAGGGTTGGAAAGGACCTTAACATCATCGAGTTCCAGCCCCCCCACCATGGGAGGGACACCTCACACTAAACCATATCACCCAAGGTCTCGTCCAACCTGGCCTTGAACACTGCCAGGGATGGAGCATTCACAACCTCCCTGGGAAACCTATTCCAATGCCTCACCACCCTAACAGGAAAGAATTTCCTCCTTATATCCAATCTAAACTTCCCCTGTTTAAGTTTTAACCCATTACCCCTTGTCCTTTCACTACAGTCCCTAACGAAGAGTCCCTCCCCATCATCCCTATAGGCCCCCTTCAGATACTGTAAAGCTGCTATGGGGTCTCCACGCAGGCTTCTCTTCTCCAGGCTGAACAGCCCCAACTTTCTCAGCCTGTCTTCACATGGGAGGTGCTCCAGTCCCCTGATCATTCTCGTGGCCCTCCTCTGCACTTGTTCCAACAGATCCATGTCCTTTTTATGTTGAGGACACCAGAACTGAACACAATACTCCAAGTGAGGTCTCACAAGAGCAGAGTAGAGGGGCAGGATGACCTCCTTCGGCCTCCTGGTCACACTCCTTTTGATGCAGCCCAGGATACGGTTGGCTTTCTGGGCTGCAAGCGCACACTGCTGGCTCATGTTCATTTTCTCATCGACCGGCACCCCCAAGTCCTTCTCCACAGGGCTGCTCTGAATCTCTTCTTTGTCCAAATCTTTTCATCCTACCTAGATTTTAGGATGAAGGCATTCCCTCCAAAGTGCATGTTTGTCACTAAAGTTGTATTTTGTGATAAACTTGCTGGCAGGAATGTTAAAACTACAGTAAATGTGTGTGAAGCTCTTTTAATTCTAATCAAAGAATCATAGAATACCAGGTTGGAAGGGACCTCAAGTGGAAAAATGCTTCTAAGGAATTTTATTATAGCCTCTGCTATTTTTTTGGTGAAAGTTACTGCTGAGAAGTTTTCCTTTAGCTGAGAACTTATTAAATTTTAGGAGTGGTGTTGTTGCAGCAGACATCCTGTACTTGCTGGATCAAATACTGTTGTGCTGTTTTGAGCGCAGCCAGATTGCGCCGTATGTAAGAACAGCTCCATTTTTCACATTACATGCTGAAATTGCTGAAGAAGTGAGTGCTGGAAACATATGCACCATGGTTGTGGGGAAATGATAAAATTATCATTTGGGTACGATCATAGTCATCAGTCTTTTGGGGTAGGTGCTCTGAGCCTGAAATATGTGGTGTTTTTCTTACTAGAAATCGCCAATATGGTAACACTACCATCATCACCATTACTACTATTCCCCCTGGTTCGTATTATGAGCTCTGGAAAGGTAGGATAGAATAACATCACAAAGACGCCAGGATGTAATTTATAAGTAATTTACCAAGAGTTCTGGGGAATCCAGTGACACTTCTGGGAGTCATAAAAAGAAGTAAAATTAAACTTTTGGATTTTACAAAACCAATGAAGTGCCAGCCTGACAGCTTCAGAGATTGAAATCTTTCTTGATGCACAGTGAAAGCAGCATGAAGTAGTTTTAAAAAGGGGATAAAGACAAAAACTCATTACAGTGAAACACTTGGTTATGATTATGGGAAGTAATTGATCCCAGCTTGGAGTCATAAACTTGCAATTCTTTTATGGGGTGTGAGCTGGACTTGGAGCAGATGGAGAAAGTGGTAGTTTGTATTTCACTTTGAAAAGGCAGGATGCATGCTCTGTTCAAATGGCCTGCAAATGGTGTTTGGGCAGTACGGCCTTTTTGTTGTTGTGCATTGCATCACTTGTAGCCTTGAGCAAGTGTTTTTAGAGCAAAGATCTCTTTTACATGTTTATTTGTGTGTTATTTTGAAATATTTCCCAAGTTTTCTATTTATATGAAATACGGTTGCAGTTAAAATCGGGTGTTGTGAGGCCTGTAAGCATGGCCCAGCACCACTGAAAACTGGTAGAAAACGTTTCATTTTGCCAACAGCAGTCTATAGAACTTGAAGGAGAATATTAGAGAAGTCCCAATTTTGTGACATTTTTTAAGGACAACAGGGCAGAGAAATGTGATCCATGTAGAAATACAGACGTGATTGCTGCTTTACCTTTCTACGGGTAGATATGAACTTTATTTCTTTGAGCAATGATGAAAACAGAAGGAATTTTGAGCAAGGAAAGTCTCAGCAACGATGAAAGGGAAACACTTGGTTTTGCTGATTTGCAGTCAGGAGCCAATTGAAACGTCACTTGTCACTAAGGGGATACATATTCTTTTTAGCCTTCCTGTTTTGTGCTAAATAAGCTCTTAAGTTTCAAGGAGAAAAGTACTGGTTTTTCCGTTTTCACACCAGAATAAACCCTGATAGGACTAACTGGTCCCCGTCGCCTGGTCTGCTCTCTTCTGCTGGTCCTATCTGGTGACCAAATCTGAACAGTCAACCCCCAATTCTACCTTGTAGAACAAATCTTTGCATTGCATTCAGAGAAAGGAAGATTTTTGTTAAGTTTGTGCTTGAACAGCCATGTTAAATCACTGAGGGGAGGTAGAAGAGGTGTTTTTATCCTGAGAGTTGAAGAAACAAAAAGTAGGAAGAGCTGAGAAGAGGGAGCTGGGCCACACATGGGGCTTTTGGGGTTGAATTGGAAATGACTTCTGACATAAGACTCCTTTCCTTATGTGGCCCTGTGAATTAATGAAAACTAGAGCAGAAGAAGATTTATCTTTTCTACTTGGTGCTCTCCAGCATCCCTTTTATTTGAAAACATTGAACATTGCTGCGTGGGTTGCACATTCAAGCAGCTGATGGGATAAAGGCAAGAATTGGTGTAATGGAGATTTCCAGGGGATATGGGTCTTTTTTGGACTTGATGCTGGGTCATCTAATGTTGGACAGATGACTTGGGACAAGAGGGTGGTGGGGCTGGAGGCAGGTTGGTGAGTGGTCAGCATATAGGCTGCTCTAAGGCTGTGGAATGCCTGAGGTCTGGCCAGCTTAGCAGATACAGCAGGACTAGGGAAGCATTTCACACACATGCATGAGTGTTTGTTTGCTCTTTCCCCCAAATAATTTTACCAAGCTGCCTGATGCTTAGAGTTAGCCTATGTATGGTTTTTAGAAGGGTACAGTGTTATTCTTATGCAGCTCAAGAAACATAATGTGCTCTAAGTAATTTGGGAGTCTTTAAAGTAGCTTTACAAGAGTCCATTTCATGGCTGTTTGGAAGGAATTTGTGTTTTCAGCCTCCAGGACATAGATGGACCCAAAGAAGCCCTTTGAAGCCCAGCTTTTTATTATTAGTTTTACAAGATCTTTCCACTGGAATCATTAAGAAGATGTAGTATCTGTGTAAATGTATCTGTTAGACCATTAGCTGTAGGCGACAGAAGGACCATACTCAAAATACTTAGTGCTTTTTCTTAACAAATTACTGTGCAAGTCAGTTGTTAAACAGCATTGTTTCATTTCCTGGTAGCTCTGTGCAGAAACATTAGGGTCTTGCTGCTTTCCTTAATAAGCAAATGAGCCCTCCCTGTGCAATAGCCCTGCTTGAAAAGGTCATCAGTGACTATACATCCATGGCCTCTATCAAAAGGGAGCTGTTGCCATGCAGAAGCAATGCCAATTCTTTATGTCATTAAAAAGGAATTTATTTTTTTTACTTTCTGATGACATTAAGTAATTCTCAGCAGTCCTTTAGCCACTGAAGAATGTGGAATGCTTTTCTAAGGGCAGCAGACTTGAGGTCCAGATTGCATTGGTGTTGGAGGCAGCACTTCTTGCGTCTTTGGTCAAGTAAAGACTGGAAAGGAAACTGGTAACTGTCTTCAAATATGTCAAGGGCTGCTTCAGAGCAGAAGGGAACAATCTGTTCTCCATGTGCATGGTGAACAACACAAGAAGCAGCAGGCTTAAATTACAGCAAGGAAGATTCAGCTTTGCTCTTTTGGAGCTGGTTTTCAAATGGGAAGGACTGTGAAGGTAGGGCATCACTGTCATGGAAGTAGCTGGACAGCTGGCCCATGAAATGTGCTTATGTGGAGAGCCAGAGCTTGTCCTGCTACTGCTACTGTCTCAGTCGTGCTGGCATGAACATGGCATAAGGAAAGGAAGGGAAAGTGAAGATGAAGTTTGCAGAGGTTAAGTGTGGTGGTCACACAAGGCCAGATGGGGTGTGAAGAAGTTGACACTTCCTACAGCTCCATTAAAGCAAATATTTAAGTAACACTGACACTCTCCCCTTCAAATCCTTCAATGCTCTCATTGCTCTGCCTGCTTCTTCTCTGCACTGGGTGAACAGTGAGCCTCAAGGGAGGGGCTGGAGAAAGGGCTTTCCAAAAGCACTGTGCCGACAGGTTATTTTATGTGGAAGATTGTATTTTGGTGAAAAGCACTGGGATCTTCACTTGCAGAGCTGAAACAGGGCCACAAAGATGGGGTAAAAGAAAGGAGGACAAGTCAAGGTGGGAAAGACTGGGAACAGCCTTAAGTTAATTATTGTGGTTCTTCACTGGGATATCAGTGAGAGCCTTGTCTTGTTAATAATTTGATTGGATTATTTTAGTCCCTAGGTGGAAGAACAAAGGTGCCCAGGACACTGTCTTCTTCCACATTCTCCATAGGGTAGACTGAGGGAAGACCCTGGTAGCTGAGGATGGCAGAAGAACCTATTGTCATCTCTGCACCTTCTCTTGGAGAAAGTGATTTTACTGAAAGACCAGAGCTTGTAAGGAGTCTGTGCTGATAAAGGCATTTTCTGCAGTATTCATGGCTGTTTTTTTCTATTCCTTTCTAATGATTTTAAGTCCTAGAAGCAACCATGGGCATGAATTAAAAGGCATGCTTCTTTGTAGAAGAAAAATGTGATATGACCTTTAATTCCTCTTAGGACTTAAAAAGATAAGACTCTTTACTCATATAGGGTTTATATAAAGATCTGAGCCTCAAGTTCCAGTGATGTCCAGAGAAAAGGCTGGTGCTCTGTGACTAAAAAAAGCTTTTGATTTAACTGTACATTTACTGTAATCTTAGGAAGGTTGGCTATGATAGTGTGACCGTGCCTTGGTTCGTGCTTGCGCCCCTTTCCAGCTGCTCACGATGCAGCCTGTGCTGATCAACCCTTTCCTAAAAATAAACAGTTCTAAATGTACAGACTCAAGCCTAACGTAAGACACCCAATCAGCTGGGGTGAGCCACAGCCCCGTGAATGTTTGTCTCACTGAAAAGACCATGAGGTGGATTTCATTTGTGTTACAAACAGCCATCCTGGGCGCCGTTTGTTTTGCAAACAGCAAATTTGAAGTGAGTAATTTCTGGAGAGCATACAGATATGCATAGCACGGGGAGGGCATGTTGCTAAAGAAAGTCCAGCCCATCGCTCTGGCTACAGTTTCCAGAAGCTCTCAGCCTTCTTTTTATGAATTGGCAGAAGCTCATTCCCATTAATCCATTAGTCATTAGCCGCGGAGGGCCAGGCATTTCGGAGCACACCGGCAGGCAGCTGGACTATGCTGTCGCTGCAAAGACCCAGCACACATGAATCAAAATAGTTGGGTGATGTCATGTCACGGTGCGAGCGTGCCCGGGACGCTGGCTGCCAGGAATTGTGCGTCCAGGGGTGGTTTCCTTTTACAGCCTTTTTAAAGGGTCATCATGCCGAGCTGCACATGACAGTTCCCTTCAAGAGAGCTTGTGGCTCCTTTGCATAGTTAGTATGTTTTAAATGAGGGAGCTTATCAGGTGGTTCCTGACCCTTTCCGCATGAACTGATCCACTGGGAAGCGTTGCTTCAGTCTCCAAGGCTTCTGACGGCTATCGGATAAGAGCTCTGTAGCTGCAAGCTGAGCAGACTTTGAACTTCTCCTATGTTCACAGATACTTTCAGGCAAGTTACTGGACACTGGAATTAAGGCTGGAAGCACCCGGCATGCAAGGTTTGGCAGCCTGCTGCAGAGCGGCTCTCCACGAAGACCACAGCCCAGTGCCTTGGAGCTGAACTGCCGGCAAGCTGGACTTCTTTTTGCAGCCACATGATCTTCCCGGAGCTTTGTTTTTTCACACCTGGGCTTTTGGTGTAGGTGACACCTTGCCCTGCCCCTCGTGCTGCCTTTTGTTCTTCAATCCCGGGCATGACCGACAGCTGCTGCCGCACGAGCGCATGTTTCATCTCATGAAGCGTTTTGGTAGCTTTAGAGGAAGCAAGAAGAGAAAGGAGCAGTGCAAAAGCTTGGAGAGATGCCAGTCTGATCCTCGTGGCCTGTTCGGTAGGGACCCTCTGCATGATCCACATGAAAAGGAGAGAGATTGGTATTTGGGAGAGGGCGGCAAGTGGGGCATAGCAAATAACTGAGCAATAATTTTGTGCTTCCCGGTTTCATTGACTGAATCATGCAGTTGCTGCATGGAGGTTATTTCTATGTTAGTTTTAACCAGAGATGAACACCTGAGCAGACACCTGTAACACATACCAAATATAACCTTTAGGAAAAGAGTGATGGTATGGGAAGCTTTACAGTAAACACTAGGGAATACATTCAAAAGGGGCTATTGACTAATGTTACTTTAATTGAAGGATAGTAACTAAATGCTATGTTAGGGCTAACACTGTATATTGAAAGATTAATTTGAAGTAGAGAAAAACTGAATATCAATGATAACTAATGCATTAAAACCCATATCTTACTGATACTGCAGTTATCGATATGATTGTGTTTGAATTCCAAACAGGGACTGTTCTCCATTTATCAAAAGCTTTTCCTGGTAACTAAGTATTAACTCCAGTACAGGCGCCGAGCTGTTTGTTTTGGAGAGTATCTGTCTGTGTATCATATGGGGATCAGCTGGCCACAACCTCACAAGAGCTTTTACAAATGGATCTGGCTGGTTTTCTTAAGAATAGTGGAGAAATATAATGTTTAATGCATTTTATGATATAGACTAATAGTAGCTGGTTTACAATTCCAGTTTACAACTCTGGTTCCTCAATGACCATGAGTGCTGCTGAGAGATTCTGTCCTGTGACTAAGAAGTTTAAAACTGATGTTATACTGAATCAGCCACATAAGGCACCATTTAGAGAGGCTGACTTGTACAAAGAGTAGGCAAGGCTCTTTTTTACTCTCTATCAGTCAGGAGTCACAGTGTTAAGTCCAGCAGAATGACAAATGAGTAGTGTTGGAGCTTATGGATGGTGTGGATACGTACATACAGATTTAGCAATGGGGGGTTGCAATTGATGGATGAGTGGCTGCCCAGAAAGCTTGTTTTTCTATCATTTAATGTTTTGCAAGTTATTTAGTGGACATCTGTGTTGTTTTTAAGGTGTCTTTCTTGCAGATGCTTTTCCCTTTGTTCCTGTTTTGTACAGTTAAGTGTTTTTAAATCTAAGGTACCGCGCCTTGTTCTGCATTCCCCTAAATCCATTCCACCAAACCCACCTGAGGGTTTCTGCTGGAGTGGTAATAACGGTGATGTGAATGAGACATGACCCGGGTCTTTCAAGTTTAACAGTGTCAGCAAGATGCAAAAGACCAGTAACAGAGTTTATGTAAAGTTTATTCCCAAATTTCTAATTAAACCCCCTAAATTCTCACCTGGCCACAAACACATGTGTGATCTGTTGATTGAGTGATTAATGGCACTTTGAGGCACTAATTCACCCTCTTGTGGTTTCATTAGTGAGATGTGAATAGCCAATACTTGCAAAAGGATTTGCTGCTGGAAGCACCAAACATAGTGCTGTAACTCTGATTCCTCGAAGTCTAACTCTAAACCCCTCCCTTATCTTCCTCCATAGAGAAAATAATTTATCCTGCACCAAGAGCACTGGCTATATAAACTGTAATGTTTGTGACAGAGTTATAAATAATAGTTAGAAGGGTAATGCCAGAAATGCCAGAAAATATGCTCCTTCTTATCCTCATTCCCATTAATCCAGCTCTGTAACTGACTCCAGTGGCACACAGTGAGCATTGGGCAGAGTTTTCTGCACAGTATTTACTCTACATACTTTGCAAATGCCATTCTTGTAAGAACGTGACCAGGTCAGCTCCCTGCATCGCATTTCCATCATGATCAGAGAGCTACCAAGTCACAAGAGTCAAAAAAGCAAATGAGTTGTGTCTGCCTGCCTTGGACACTGCTGCAGGGATTGCCTCTGCCATCCCAGCAGAGTCTGGATTCCTTCTGGGAAACAGGTTACACACTTGCAAATGCTTTTATTCCCCCCAAATGGCCTTACTTATTTGCAGGGCAAAGTAAAACCAAAAGCTTTGCATTATTTATTTGTGTTACTTTCCAGATTTAATCAGTATCTCATAGCCATTAGGCTTTAATAAACACTTTCTGGGCAGCTTTCAAGTCAACTGTCAGTGCTCAGCACATTTTGTGATCAGTATTAGTGGTGTGCAGGAGCGCTAGAAACAACCAGACTTGGTGGCTCATCACACACTGATGGATGCCAATTAGTTGCTGTCTACCATCAGGGATGAGAAATGAATGACAACAATCCAGCATGGGCTTTCCCACCCGCCATACTGTCACTGCAGCCTCGCTACAGCTGAATGAGCTCAGATTGTATTTGGGAAAGGGGTGGAAAAGGAAAGAAGTCCCCTGATGACCCAGAAAAGGGGTGCTCTGTCACCTGGCCTCATTGAGTCAAGAATTTCTGATTTTTCATGGCCATGCCTGTAAGTGTTTTAAGGAAGACTCCTCTGGTCACTGAAAATAGGGTTGGGCCATTGCAGCTTCTTGTACTCGTAGGGTTAGATAGCATCAGGCCACTGCAACTGAAGTTATCAAGTAGTACATTCTTCTGTGTATCAATTGAGCTGAACCCTATCCTTCCTCTGAAATGATGAAGAGGTTCACATCCTGGTAGAGAAGTGGAGGGTGGCATTACCAAGGACGTGCATCTCTAATTCCCTGGGGTTGAAGCCTTACAAGTCCTTTTATGCCAAGTAAACAGCAAGAAAAGACCTAAGCATGGCCAAACAGAAGCAGAGAGCACACAGAGAGGGGAAATGGTAAAGTGTGAATGAGCATCAGGAACAAATGAGGACAAGGAGAGTTGTGGGGTGAAGGCAGCTTTGCTCCAGGAGAGGAGCAGACAACAGAGAGACCTTGAAGCTTGAGCTATGCACCAAACAGCAGGGAAGCTGAGTTAAGCAATATGATTTTAGCAGGGCTGAGGATGAGGATTACCTAAAACTTCTCCAGCCTCTGGGTCACCACCACAGTTTCTTCCTTCCTCTTGCAGCTGCTGTTTCCCTGTGCAGGGTTGCTGGCAGCTTCTCTGCCTGCAGCTCTTGCTGCAGCCTGGTGTGTTGTAAATAGATAGGCTCTGTGGCATTTCTGCAGCAGACAACGTTTTGGCCCCAGTGAGACTTAATTGCAGTGGCCTTTAAAGGACACCATTTATTCCATGAAGGATTGAATGACACATGCAAAAGGTATAATGTTAAAAGTGCTTCTTCCCTACGTATGGTATGAGTGCCCAGTGAAGGAACTGCTTTGCAGCACATGTGGCTGCCATGACCCTAGCGCTGCCTTGTGCTCAGGCATTTAGCCTCAAAGCACGTCCTTTTGGAGGCTTTTAGAGGCACTAAAGTGCCAAGGAGCTTCTCCTTGCCCATGCTTCTCCTCTTGGGATTTGTTGCTGTGGATTTTAATCAACAGGGGCCAATGCTGAGCCCCAGAAAGCCAGGTCCGAGGGACTCCAAGCAAACCTCAGTGCTTCCCCTTGGTCCCTCACCTGTCCCACCTCAGTAGCAGCCTTGATGATAATTTCCCTGCCAGCTGTTGTAATGAAGAGCAACTAAATTAGCACTAAATGAGGAGTAAGCCTGCTGAATGACTGAGACCCAAATACATACATGGCAAACATGCTTCCACCCGCCACGTGCACAGATCACGTGAAGGGCAGGGGCTTGTTCCCAAGTCGCTCTGTAACCTGCTGTAGCCACACTGGCAGCACTCAGAGCACATGTTTTATCTCATGTCTCTGCAACTGCTGTGGGATGGAGGACTTCTGAGGCTGTAGAGCAGACCTGGGAGGTGCTGTATTTTACAGTATCTCCAAATACTCAACCCAAGGGGAAATGGGGGTATGGGTTGTGTGTCCAGCAAAGAAATCATACTCTTCCTTCCTGACAGCAGGGATGTGGCAACTGCATCAGTGATCACAATGAGGAGCTAATGTGCCATAGGCTGAAACCAGCTCAGACAACAGTCCATGGGCAAGGTCCAAATAGCAGGTGGTTCACAACCTCTCCAAGTGCAAACGGAAACCCAGGGGATTCTTCAGCCTGGCTCACATCACCATTTATTGGCACAAGCCACGTTGTGGATAGTTGCAATGAAAATGTGTGGCAGTAGGACAGAGAAGTGACTACAATAGGAGACGGGATTTGATCTCCTGCCTCTCCAGGCTGGGGAGCTGCAGCTCATCTGGCACCTTGACCCAAAGCAGGTGATGCTGTTTGTGGGAGGAACGGAGCTGAGATGTTTATTTTTCTCATTCTGGTGGGAAGTTTGTGTTATGAGGCACCGGGGAAAAAATCAGGGTGGAAATGTTTCTGGAGAAATTGATGAGAGTGAGGGGGCTGCTGCACATTCCAGAGGCTGCCTTAAACGAACTGAAGGAGCAAAATCCTGTTGCTTCTGAAAAGCAGCTTAAAACCACCGGCAGCAGAGACCGGCCATGACAAACTGAGACCACTTTGGTTTGTTAATGATTTTCTCTGCTGGTTTTCATGCTCTGTTGACCTGACAGTGATTTTAGAAAATGTGCAGCCCTGGCTCATGAGTACTGATTAATCCTGTGCTACAGAGAGCTCTGAGACCTAGAAGCTGTGACGTTTCTGTGGCTGGTTGTCAGGAAGAAGAAAAGCAGTGATGAGCAAGATGAAAAGTTTGAGACTTTTTACTTTGCCATTTTCTGCTTCCTTATAGTCACTGTGCTGGTGTTTTCTGGCACATCCCAGCTTTCTATGCAGCTTCAAAGCATTCTGAATGGGGGGGGAAGGATTTTGCCCATGACAATAGAATCAGCAAGGTATTTTGAAGGTATTTTATATAATCTGGAAGAGGGCAGATTTAGATTAGATATCAGGAAGAAATTCTTCCCTCTGGGGATGATGACGCCTTGCACAGGTTGCCCAGAGAAGCTGTGGCTGCCCCATCCCTGGCAGTGTTCAAGGCCAGGCTGGACAGGGCTTGGAGCAACCTGGTCTAGTGAAAGGTGTCACTGCCTGTGGCAGGGGGT